CTGTTCCCAGTGCAGCGGTTGTTGTGACATAACCTCCACTGCATCATAGAAGGAACCAAAACTTGTGTCTCGCACTGTAAATCCCCGTAGTTAACAAGTTTTAATGACCTCTGATTGCAGTCAGAAACCCAGCTCCGTATTTACCTCCCTCTTCAGAGGTTCCTGGTCCTGTTGGTGCTGACCTGCTGTCTTTCTTTCAGAGTTTTTAAATTAAACCCTTGAACCTTTCCTTTTGTATCCAGTGAAAATTTCAGGTCATCTATTTGGTAATCATGGTGTCTATTGTTGCAAAGGATAAAACTATCATTAAATGAATTTAGAATAAAATAACAACCAAATACAATTTTCCTCTTTAAACCAATGCCTTTTTTCATATAAAACCGGTCATTTATGAAGAATGTGTATTACAAACACAATCAAATCGTGTTTCCAACTCATCCAAATTCCTTTTGTACCTCTATAAACACTGCCAATGACTTCTTTAATTCATTCCACTGCATAGTCTTGGATAGGTCTGCCTGACTTGCTTTCAGACTCTAAGTGTTTCTCCTGGAAGCTTTCATGGACTCAATGTAAACATTTGTCTCTCTTCACATCAACAGGGGAAACAAAAAAAAGAACAGAACGTCTTTGCATGCATACCACAGCCACTACATTTTTCTAGGCCTGTGCATGTCTCTTTTTATCATGAAAATACTGCTGAAAGTAGATCCATTTAGCAATTTATCTAGACAATATCTAAGCCAGATAGCGTGCATATGTAAATACCTTTATCTTCCACATTACAGGTTTTAACTCAGATCAGCCCCATTATTCCATCACTTATGTCCATGTAAACATCGATAATGACTGTATCCTCGTGACCTGTAAAGTTTTTCTCCCTACATTTCAAAGACTTTGAGGGAAAAAAAGGTTTAATATAAACAAAAGATCAGAGCTGGGTACCTGCAGTTGCTACAAATGGAAAACAAGTTGAAGCAGTTTGACATAAAATCATTGCTGCAAGTGAAAACTTTATTTTCCATCAACAACTACCTTCTGTTTATATAATTTATGACAAACTTTTATTTGGTGTACTTCTGCATGGCAATTTGGGCATGGTTACTCAACCCTAGAATGCACCCTCATTATTTAAAGCACTTGTCAGAAGATAGCACTTTTTTCACGGCTCATTATGTTAGAATACATTTGAAAGTTCATTGTGATATTTGGAGAAAAGGAAATGCTGTTTTGCAGACCTGCAGGAGAAAATCCCCACCAATTCTTTTAAGTTATTTTTTTATCTGCTGCTGTTAATAAGATACACGGATCAGGTAGATAATAAGGAATCCTCAAAAATAAAGTGTCATGTACAGGCATCCAGGTAACTATTAGACTATTCCAAACACTTAACTGTAATTCTTATTTTTAATCATGTCTAAAAACAGTTAGAGGGTCATTCTTGCTTCTGTCTGTATGCTGAATCTGTTTTCAAGCTGGGTTGCTCTGGCTCTGTGTTTGGTGTGCAGCCATGTTTGTTTACAGTGCTGCAGCTCATCCAACTTCCAGTCTCCCAGCATTTGATTGAGGTCCAGCTCAAACTGGCTAAATAAAAAATTACTTGCACTAAAATGTGCAATCTGTTGTTTTTTTTTACATCTCTTTTTTTTCTTTTGTTTTTACATTAAACTGTTACAGTCTTTCACCTGAATTTGGTTCATTGATTTAAATAAAGTCTGTTATGCACCCACACTTTTTTCACCTCCATTTGATGATTAGCTTTTTTCAGTCTCTTACTGTATTCTAACTTTTGAGCAACATGCTTGATAAATCTTTATCTTACATCATTCTATTTACCTTTAAAGCTGCATCTAAGCACTGATCATGATGTACATCACTTATTAATTGAAGGGATCCCTTTAGATAGATTTGTAGAGGAACCTGACATGTTTTTATTCCAGTGGATCAGATGGTGTGAGATATCTTAGTAAGGTGTGAAAGCTCATATTGCTGCACATTTTTTTTCAAACAAATACCATTTTCCTGCAAGAAGTATCCAAATACCCTTTCGAACTTTTCACACATTCTTCCTTCAGCTCCTTTATTTAGCTATTTTTAAAGTGAGCCATAGCAGCCTGATGCAAGCAGCCCTCGTGTGCAGCTTTTCCTTTTATTTAATATCAATGTGTGGAAGTCTTGCTTTCTTTTGCACACCCACTTGTCATACCTCTCAGGTCTCATTTAACAAGTTTGAAAGAAAAAGAAAACGGGATCCACAGAGGCGATTAGTTTTCTCAGTGGTGCCTTTGGCAGTGCTGTTGTCCCATCTGCAATTATGCGTCTCTATACTTAGACATGCTTTGCCACTTAGAGCAGAATCCTATTCAGGGATTGGAGTGGACTGTTACCTCATTACAAACTACAGACCTAAATCATTTCTTTTTTTTTTTTTATAATATTCAGCAAAAAAATCTTGCAGGAAATCAAAATTAGCTGGTCTAATTTGAAATTTTAACAATATATTGAAAAGGTGAAAATGTATTGAACCAATATGCACACTGGACCCTTATAAATTTTTATTTATGTTAAAAAAAAAAATTATCCAGAAATAGGAACATTTTCTAATAAGCATAGCAAAAATACTTTCTTTCATGTGACTTTTATAGACCACATACTTCCAGTGGCTCGCTCAAAAGAAGACTTTGTTGCACCAGATTCTGCTTTAAATAAATATATTTCAATCTGAA